TGGGAATTAATTACTGAAAGATGACTAGGAAATTAAATGTTGAACCCTTTATATATTCTATACAAATGACACCCTATCCCAAATGATTATTATCGATCGATAAAATATAGAACCATTTTCGGCGGCTGAACTTCTGCCTAATGTGGAGCTAGTCTAGGAATTCATGTTTTTATGTTTTCATTTTTTTATAATTGCCAAAACTTTGACATTAAATTACTTGACTTTTTTTTAGTTGGATCAGTTTTTTCTTACCTGCAATATGAAGTTTATGTAATTCAAACGCGGACAAATGCTCCATGCCAGTGCTAAAATTGTGATTTTTAATGATTTGTTATTTGATCAATGACGGTAAATTGAGTGTGACTGTAGCAATAAATCGTGCTTCCAAAATGAGTGGGATCAGTGAAAAAACAATTTACACCATCAAGAAAGAGGACGAACAAAACAATGGCGAATTGAAATCTCCTGCAGGAAGAAAAAAGCGAAATGGAAAGTCAAATTCCCGCGAATATTCATTTGATGAGGGTTTTAAGAGATTATCCCGAGCTCTATTGTAGTACCTGTTTGTAAAAATGGAGATAAAACATATGTTGGTAAATATAGACCAATATCATTGATTAGTCATTTGGCTAAAGTTTTTGAAAAAAATAGGCTATCATCATTCATATAATATATAATAATAATAATGTTTATTTACCAGCAATATATACATTCAGATACAATAAAATAAAATCCAATAGGAATTAAAATGTAAATAAACAAGAAATGTGTCACTGAATCTGCTCACTGTACAAAGTACAATGACAGATTGTGTGTGACAAAAAATACGACCAAATAAAAATAAATAAAACTTATAACAATACAATAGTAAAAATTTAAAAATATGAAGCAATTAAAATACAAATTATTAATATAAATAAAAGTTATATAAGTACAATCTTTACACTTTGATAATAAGTAAAATTTATTTCCAATATACCTTGGCATAAGTACCTCATACAACGAACATAACTTCTACATAGACAAAGAACATTTTTAAAATATTCAGATTCTTTAACGTTTATAATATACTTTCCAATTATTTAATTTCTATTTTGTTTTTTATTCGATTATATTACGGAAAAAAGTTCGCGGTGTTTTTGTTATAAATTCTTTTACACATCTTTTAAATTTTTTTACTATTTTTATTTCTCGAAGCTTCGTTGGAATGTTATTAAAGATTTTTGGTCTCAAAAACCGATAGCTATTTTGTCCAATTGATTTATTCGTTCGTGGTAGCAAATAATTGTCTCTGTTTCTTGTATCATATTGATGCAACGGTGTTTGCAGATCATCTTGATTTTGAAATTGATGGGTGAGTGCTGCTTGACAGAATAACTGTCGTAAGTCAAATATCTGGGTTTCTTGATACACATTTTCAGTAGGATATCTTCTATTTTTGTTTAGCATTATTTTTAAAAAACTTTTTTGAATGATCTCGATTGGCTTTAAGTGCGTTTTAGTGACTCCACCCCAACCAATTATTCCATAGTTGAGATGAGATTCGAAAAGGCTATGATACAAAATTCTCTTCTGTGGTAATTCTAGCATTGGTGATATTTGTATGAATTTAAATAAGACACTACGTAATTTGTTTAGTAAGTATTGAGTATGTTTGTCCCAGCGCAAGTGGCTATCTACTATTATCCCTAAATATTTAGTTTTATTTTCAGGTAGTATATATGTGTCGTTCTCGATAGCGATATTTTGAAATTGAGGAAGACCAGAGGCTAGACTGCAAAAAGGTAGGTACACTGTTTTTTTAAAATTTATAGATAGTAATCGGTAGTTAAACCATGTTTTTATTTTGGAGAAATCCTTCTCTCCCAATGTTTTCAAGTTATTCCAGTCAGTAGCTTCGTAATGCATTACTGTGTCATCTGCAAAGCTAATAATATTTGCTTTACTTTTCACTAAAAAGAGATTGTTCAGGTAGACTATAAAGAGTAGAGGCCCTAATACTGTTCCCTGAGGTACACCACATGAGACTATTTGATCGATGCTGGTAATATTTTGTATTTTGGTTTTCTGTTTGTTAAGTAAGACTTCATTAATTTATTGGCTATACCCCTTATACCCATATATTCAAGGGAATTTGATAAATGACAATGATTGACGGTGTCGAAAGCTTTAGCCAAGTCTAAAAAGATTCCTGTTGATGGTTTTTTATTGTCAATTGAACAGTAAATTTTATTAGTTAGTTCCCTTATTGCGTCTTTCGTTGAACTTCCCTCCCTAAATCCATATTGTCTTTTTGATAACAATTTGTTTTTTCCAGGAAGTCACATATTCGATGTTTTATCACTTTTTCTAGAATTTTCCCTATTGAAGAAATCAGGGCTATCGGTCTGTAGTTAGTTATTTCTGTTTTTTCGCCATTTTTATGTATGGGAATAATTAGAGACTGCTTAAAAAGTTGAGGAAAAGTGCCTGTAGAGAGGCTTGTGTTAATTATATTTGTAAGTGGGCCAGCTATAAAGTCTGAAATGAGTTGCAATGTCTCTGCAGTTATGTTATCCGATCCTGGAGCTTTCTTCTTTTTTAAACCTGTTATTATTTGTTTTACCTCGGTTATAGTTGTGAGAATAAAAAATATTGAATTGCTAGAAACGTGCTTTTTTTCTTTATAATTTTTTGTTATTTTAATGTTTTTTGCTAAATTTATTGCAAATAGATACAATCTTTTGTCAAATAAATAATATAGATTCAAAGAAAAGACCTCAACTGTAGACGCTATTTTAAATTTAACAAAAAATATATACAAATCGCTGGATAGTTCGAAATTCATTTCCGTCGTTAAAGCGCTTCTTGTTCCGAAAAAGGTACACGCCTGTCACATTCATCGTTCAATAAAAAAAAGTTTTAGATACAAAACGCTTTGTATTGTAAGGCCAAAATATATTTAGAAATAAAAAGATTCATATAAACAAAAAAATCATTACACGTGAGATAACTACCAAATTAATGATTTACAAGTTTATTCTTATTATCCATCAAATAGGTTTGCAATGTGCTGATGTGGAATGTTATCGTCGACTAAAAACTTTAAATCTTTATATTAAATTGGTCGAACACAATCCATAAATTGGTTTAGACTATATAGAATGTTTCTAGTAAGCAGCGGTTTTTTATTTTGGAACCGAAAGACCCTTTGTAAAGGGTTCAAAATTAAAATAAAATATGTACCAAGTAACAAGTAAATGAAGTAGTATTTTTTAATTTTGAATCTTGAGAGATGCAGACATCTTTGGATAATTTATATTGAAAATGATAACATGAAAGGTTTTCTGTCTAATAGTAAGTAACGACTCATAGTCGCAACTACCCCCTATTTTGCACTCCCCAGATTAAATTTACTTGTAGCAAATGATACTAAATAAAATAAGATGTTAGATCACAAGCAAAATCTCGTCACTATTGCACTAATGATTGCAGACAATTAACTAATTCATATTTCATACCATATCTTTCTTAATAAGGACTTTCAGAAACATATTTACCTTACTTGAATTGTTTTTATCGTTTTTTATACAGAATCGTATCTAAAAATGTTTGACTAAAACATCGTGTGAACTATTTGTTCGATCAATAAAAAACTTGCACCGGTCCTGTCTGAGCCAGCACTGTTATATACATGAGCTCCGACACACTATTTTCTCCTTATAGTTTTATTTTTGATACATGGAATTGGCTCCTATATGGACACAAAAGAGTGTACAAAATTGTGGGAAATACAAGAAAATCAAAAGGTTGGAAAAAATTTGGTGAAGCTTAGCAAATATAAAAAGGTAATAGATAAAGAACAGTTAAATCTTAAATGAAATTGTTAATAGTTCGTGTATTTGATAAGATCTTTATATATCAAATTTGAAAAAAATATTTAAAGGTGTTTTTGATTTATGGCAAATTTTTATTTTAAACTTTTAAATCGATATCGAAGCCAATTAAGGGCTCATGTTCCTATATCAAAATTCATTAATTAATGAGAGCTCTCTGGGCTAGGGCGTTTTTGGTCAAATATACAATAATATACATACTATGGAATGTACACCCTGTCGAATATAACCAGGGCCGACTAGAGGGGGGGGGCAGCTGGGACTAACTCCCGGGGCCTGGGCTCAAATGGGGCCCGGCAGCGCTATAAGGGGGTGAAAATTCTTTTGTCTGTCACTTTCAGAAGTTCGACACAAGAGGGGGGAAGTTCTTGATTGAAGACATTTTTTTAGAGAAATTCAAGTAGAGGAGGAGAATTGTTTGCCTGAAGACCTTTTTTTTAGAGAGAGGAGAGATTTTTGTTTGAATACCTTTTTTTTATTTTTTTATAAAATTGTAGGAGGCCCGATCTGGAGAATTTTTCTGGGGCCCGGTCTGGCTCTCGGCGGCCCTGGAAATATATATTCTTATTTCTTCGCTATATTCCTCCTCATTTAATAATTTCAGTTTAGATGCGGTTACACCAAATTTTGGAGTATATATCTTTTTCTAAAAAAATCAATACTCACCTAAATTTGAAAAAAACACAGCAGTTTTTTGATACATACTGTATCTGATGATTTATTTATTTTGAATAGGAAGGTTGAAATTAAGGATAGTTAGAAATAAAATTTTCTTGAAGCAGATAATTTCTACATTCCATTATCATTCTTATATATTTTTTAATACAATGATAAAATTAAATAATATTTTAAAACACCCAGTAAAAAATTTAGCTAGAAAAAAATTCGTTTTTTTGTAATGTTTGTTACGTAAAATATTTCAATATATAGATATTATATATTTTTCATTAATTAAAACTTATTTCTTTTTGTTTTACCAAAATCGTTTCTTTTGTTTTTCTATTTAATATTTTTTGTGTCAAAAATTTTAGGGATTATTTTTGTAAATAAAAAAATACAATTCAAGAAATAACTACATATATATTAAATTAAATTACAAATTACAGTAAATATAATTATACAGAATCAGAAAATACCTATATTATGATCTCTTTCGAGTAGACAATGAACTCTTATTTCTCCAAAAGGTAGTACATACACATTATAATCTTCCGTAACAACGTCGATCAATTTTTCGCACGAAGTGTACAACAAAGCTTTTACTCGTAGATCCTTAGGTACTCCACGCATATTACAAAAATCAATTGATACCTTCCAACATCTAGAGTTAGCGGTAAACTTAACAACAACAAAAAACGGCATGACCCACACGATTTTTTCTATAAATTTAACTGAATTAAGAATATTTTTCCCCAAATCGATGTTCGAGGTAAAAGTGGTACACGAATATACTTCATGCTTCTCAAGCATATGCGGTAATAATTTATCGTGAGGTGCAGACACCTCGCAATTCCTAATAGGACAGTCAAATTCAGGTTGATCAGGACAAAAATACTCATGACCACTCAACATTTCATCTGAAATACCGCAGCCCCACAAACATGTATAAGTTACATGCAACTTCCTGTAGGTTCTACTGGATCCACCGTATTTTATATATTTGTTATTTCGTTTCTCTAATCGAAAACAAATATCGCACAAAAAATAAAGATTGCGATTAATTCTTACAAATCCTCCCAATGTTTTGTGGAACGAGCTGACGAAGCAGTTGTAGCAATGCAAATAAATATTCGTCGTTTTGAATCTGTTAATTTTAATCAAATGAGTAAAATCTACGCTGACGGTCATATTTGAAGGAAAATTGTAAGTTTTAATTTTAGCGGGCCAGTCGATGCCCGATCTCAAACATAAATTATGAAAATATTCAAAATTATTTACAATCCTACGCTCCTCTAAGACTTCAGACTCTTTTGGTATAACTGTATTTTCACTGGGTACTATTATTTGATAATAAGGAACATTTATAATATCAAAAGTGACAGAGACCTTTACGTACAAACAACTAATCGATATATTATCTCTAAGATTTTTAGCCTGATAATAAGTTGGTATTTCCAAAGGATCGATATCCTCGTTACCCACGTTTGTATTAAAGTTAATATTGAACCTGATGTTGAATTCAGCGTTAACCAAATAGGAAGCACTTAAATTAAATATGTTAGAAAGAACATCCACTTTGTAATGAATAAAAAATAAAACATCGTCTAGTCTATACAAGAAAGTTTGACTTACAAGGTCGTTGTAAATGTAAAAAATCGGTGTCTTCAGAATAGATAGAAAATGGTACTGTTGAAAATGCGCTTCAAGCATGTAAGTTGTTAAAATAACTCCAGGACAATTCGGACACTCGTACTTCAAAGGAAAACATTCTTCTTCATGTTCAATGACTTGAACATAGTTCAGTAACTTCCTGCAACCATCGAATCTGTTGTTGCACTTAAACACGTGATTGTCTCCAAAACAGTTGTATACGCACAAAATACCTTCATCGTTTTCTTCGGTGCATCTTCCGCACTTAATGGAACCATCCTTGTAGGTCTTCACAGGTTTCACAGAAAGATACTTAAAACAATTGGTACATTTTAGTTTATCTAGAGTAGAATCAGATAATATTACAGACATCGTTGGAAACTTTTAGAACTTAAGCAAATTACAAGTAACTAACAGCAAAAATAGCACACGAATAGGTTTTCTAATTTTGTCAGTCGACTATATAGTTCCAAAATGTAGACATAAAGATTGGGGTAGGGGGTGGTTAAATATGAACTAAAAAGGTAATAATGCATTCAAGAGTTGATTGGGTAATTAGGAAGTGTTTAGAGAACAAGATCACCCTTTAATTTGATTGGATTACCAAGCAAGGCGCCTACCTGGCGACTATAATGGTTACGTTGATGGGTGTATTTTGTAAATTGATTATTTGTTTACAATAAGATTAAATCAAATGGTGTCTATGTAAAATTTGGTTCTTAGAAATTCAGTTTACAGGAATGAAATAATAAATATTATTTGATTTGAAATTATTGAACTTAGTTTTATTATTAATAATGATACTGATACATTTTTTATGATTTATATGATCATTGCAAGGAAAAATTAAAAAATTAAAGTCTGCTGTTAAATTATTATCGTAAGAACACTTGAACACTTGAAGGTATGATACATATTTTAACTAAGTGAGGTGGAAGACGACCATAATTGAATCTCATTATTGTAAGTGTAGTCGAATAAAATTTGTTAGGGCGGCGTCTAGCCATATCTCAAAAACTGTTTATCTGGACAATTTCGCAATTTTTTTACAAAATCTTTAAAAGAAAATACTTAAAAATGATTTTACCTTTGAAACTTTTCGCTATGTTACGTGATATACCACATAAATGTTTTTTCATAAAAAAATCTATATAATTTTAAACCAAAAAAACTAAACAATATTTTGAAGTGTGATGTGTTTCATTGTTTTTCTGTGTTGGTTGTACGGGTTGTAACGGAAAGACAAAGTGTAAATATGTTTAGTTTTAAAGAAAATTCCTAGGTAATTCAACGCGATTATATGTGGTTTAGATACCAAAAGTCAAAGTAATTTTTCGAGTACTTTAGAACAACTCCGTTTCTTAAGAAGTCTTTACAACCCCTAGGCACACTTCATGAAGGGTTTTCAATGTTAAAATTAATGCCAAGAAGTATATTTTTATCGAAAGTTTGGTTTAAAGTTAACCGCGCATATTCGCTCCGTGCGAAGTCATGGAAAGGGAAGCAAAAGCGATACTAGCGCTAGCTGCGGATAATTAGTGCATTTTAGGGCGATCTTTTGTAATTTTGGCATATCAAATACACGTATACATTTTACTTTTTTTCAAAAAAGTAGGTAAAAACAATACAATAAGCAACCGGAGTTGCTGTGTTGAAAATTGTACAAATACTAGCAAACAGTGAAACTTATATAAAAAATTTTAGTAGCAAAGTGAAAATTAAATCAAAGAAATAAATGGATAGGTGTACAATAAAAAGAAAAATTACCTTTATTTTTGTAATTATGACGGTAATGCTGGAAATAGTAGACATCAGAAACTTGAAAGGTTTTAAATAAAAACTTAATTATCATTTTACGATGTTCTTTAATATCCCTTTATTCTTAAATGTTCATTCAGCAAGGACTAGATTTCAAGATTTCTGCCGTTGATTATTATATGTGGCTGGAATGCAATTTTGTGACTTACTGATGGGAAACCAGTTCTAATCATTCATTCTATGTTTTCTTTCGAACAAAAATGAAAATATAAAAATCGACCTTTTTTATACATTTTAACTTCACGCTATTATTAAATGGTATTTTTTTATTTTGACAGAATAGGCTAATTTTTCAATGACAATTTATTAGACTTAGGCAACTTCTCATACATTTTTCGGTAAATACTGTTGCCTGCCGATATTTTATTATTGATTTTTATTGATTATACATAATTTTCTTTAATTTAAGCGATAAAAATATATAATATTAATAATTTACAAATCCATATACTTTTATTAAAACTAACATATATGCTTTTTAATTACGAATTCTATTAAAAATTGTATTTGTCAGTATACGCAGAAATAGTCCATTAGTACCAAATCAAATTGGCGTTGCTGTCGCGCACGGAGCAAATACGGCAGATTTCTATGGGCGAACGCCAACCTTAACACTGTTTTCTTAAATATATGGATTATAAAATGCTTCAGCACATTCTTTCCAATTGCCATTTCATGTTATTTTAAACTAAAACTAAATAAAAATTTTGAACATATCCTATTTCATTTCCCTTGATGCCAGCATGTCCTTTGGCACAAATAAATATTATTTTAATACGAGAATTTTCTAATAATTTAAAACAATTTTTAATTTCCCATACTAGTGAATTTTTATAATGGAAATTCAATTTTTTAGATTGAATTTATTGCAATATGCTTTAATTAATACTAGTAAATCCTACTTTTTGCTTTTACTATAAATTGTCAGAATTTATTAAAAAAATTTCTAGTACAATAAATTTAATGTCAAAATTTCTTATTGAAAAACTTATTTATTATGCTTTTCACATAGTAGTCTGTGAAGAGTATTATAGGTTTACTTTCAAGAAATCAAAATTTTGAATATTCATCCTAATTTAAAAATGTTTGTACCAAAATCCTTCTTATCAAAATTTAAACAACTTTTAAAAATGTACGTCCGTCCGATGTCACCTTTTTTGTCAATAACGAAAAATGAAATGAACCTAAAATTTTTAGAAAAAATCAATCTTTATAAGGGTACAACGCCTATTAATTTTGAAAAATTCTGATTAAAAATGGAAGGATTAAGGGCGATTGAAATATTAAAAAAAAAATAAAACCGAAACAATATCAACTCTACAATGAAACAAAGACTATTCACTTTTAAAAAATCTGAATAAAAATGAGGGAATTAGGGGAAGTTAAAATTAAATCATAAAACAAATACTAAAAACAATATCAACTTGAAATTTTCAGGAAAATCAAGCTCTGCAACGGGACGAAACCTATTGATTTTGAATAAAAACTGATTAAAAATGGGGATTAAGGGGGTTAAAATTAAAAAAAAACCATAAATCAAAAACAGAAAACAATATCACCCGGAAATTTTTATGAAAAATCAAGCTCTGCAATGGGGCGAAGTCTATTGATTTAAAAAAAAATGGAGGGATTAAGGGGAGTTAAAACTTAAAAAAATCATAAAATAAAAATTAAAACCAATATCAACTTGAAATTTTCAGGAAAATCAAGCTCTACAATGGAACGAAGACTATTAATTTTTAAAAAATCTGATTAAAAATGAGGGGATTAAGGGAAGTTAAATTAAAAAAAATCATAAAACAGAAACTAAAAACAATATCAACTTAAAATTTTCAGGAAAATCAAGCTCTGCAACGGGACGAAATCTTTTGATTTTTAATAAAATGTTAATTAAAAATGGGGATTAAGGGGGGTTAAAATTAAAAAAAATCACAAATCAAGAACAGAAAATAATATCACCCTGAATTTTTTATGCAAAATCAAGCTCTATTGATTTAAAAAAATCTGATAGAAGTGAAACTTAAAAAAATCATAAAACAAAAAAAATATCGACTTATAATTTTTTGGAAAATCAACGAGTCGAAACCTATTGATTTTTAATAAGAAGCTGAATAAAAATGGGGATTACGGGGGGTTAACATTAAAAAAAATCATAAATCATAACAGAAAACAATATCATCCTGAAATGTTTATGAAAAATCAAGCTCTGCAATGGCACGAAGTCTGTTGATCAAAAATAGGGGGTCAAGGGGGGGCTGAAATAAAAAAAAAACAAATCAACAACGAAAAGTGATATCGTCATGACATTTTTATCAAAAAACCAGCTCTATAATGGAACAGGTTATTGATGTTGAAAATTGTTATTAAAAATGGAGTGATTTGATCCGGTAAGCAAAAAAAAACACATTTTGAAAGTACAAAGTTCAAGAAGTCGCCTAACCCCAGAAAAAGCAAAAAGTTTAATTTTGTTGCCTTTTAACCAACCAAAACTTGACATTAAATAGTTATTAAAAATGTTTTTCAACTTAAGAGAAAACCAAACACTTTGAAAAGTTATAATTTCTTCTAATCCCTTTATTTTTAGTACTATATTTGTGAAATTTTCAAAAACATTTGCTGCTTTCTGTTTTAATAAATATCTTGTAGTTTCTTTTTATTTAAACGTCTCTGTAAAACTTGCTTTATCGATCTTAAAATCAAAAATCTGATGTGTCCAACACATGACTTTCCTATCTAGTTATTATAGGCTTTTTCCGGTTATTTTGTACAGCCTATTGCAGCACCTCTATAAATGTTTAGAGGATAAACTAAATATATACATTTTCCACATACAGCTAACTCGAAACATTTTTCTATAGATTTTCATTGAAAACGAAAATACTGAAAAATTTAAATTAAGCACTTTTCCTTCAATACAGTCCATTTTAGAAAAATCATATAAGAAACAAAAATTATAGAGATTGATATCACAAATAACTTTTATTTAAACAATTTTCATAAAAATTTGAATTTTTATTACATTCCATTTTGTCAAATTTCTCGAAGACGGACCATTTTTAAAAAAAATTGTTTGGAAATATAAATAACAGATATATTCCATAATATATAAAAACGCACCCCCCCCCCCATAAAGTACCCCCCAAATGTTCCGCCTTTGTCCAAAATCTAATCATTTCACCTCGGCCGAAATAGAACTTAAATTTAAAATTTAATGTTTTTTCCTTTGTCCGTTTTTGAGTTTTCTTCAAAATTCTAAATTTACACATTTTCTCAAATATCTCGAATACGGTTCATTTTAAAGAAATTATGTATGGAATAAAAATTATAGAGAATTATATTATAAACAACTTTTATTTAAACACTTTTTATAAAAACACACACACACACACACAAACACACACACACACACACACAAACACACACACACACAAACACACACACACACACACACACACACGCACACACGCACGCGCACACACACACACACACACACACACACACACACACACACACACACACACAGAGACATCATCCCGAAAATAGTCAAAACGGAT